GATTGGCTCACTCTCTCTTCCCTCATGAATCGACACACCCTTGCTGCTGATTGGCTCACTCTCTCATCCCCCATCATGAATGGACACACCCCTTACTGCTGATTGGCTCACTCTCTCATCCCCCATCATGAATGGACACGCCCCTTACTGCTGATTGGCTCACTCTCTCATCCCCCATCATGAATGAACACGCCCCTTACTGCTGTTTGGCTTACTATTATTCATCCATCTCGGAGATCCGAATCTGACGACAGACGTTGCCTAGCAACACGCCCCCTTTCCTCGGATTTCTCCTCTCGGAGAACCACAACCGTGAGGATACCGAGCAAGAAATCCGTTTCGGAATTCAAGATGGCCGCGCCCAGTGACTTGTAAGAATGAATTGTTTTCATTGTTTTGGAACCGCTTTGGTATTTTAAATGACGATTATAATCACTCGTATTACTGCGTCCCCTGCAGGTATGGGAATCTGTTGTTGTGAGTGCAATTACTAACGTTGCTAGCGTTGCTAACAGAAGATTAACATGAAAAACATTAAATAAAGTGAACATTTTCAAGTTCAAATGGCTGCGTTTTGATAAGGTGTAGTCATAATATTTTTTTAAAATGTAAGTGCCTGTTACTCGGCTAGTGCTACCATGACAACAGCTTTCTCCGATTCGGACACGCAAAACATAATAGAACGCTTGAAGTGTGGACGTGACGTCAAATCCGAGGTCCGAGTCGGTTCGTTGGGTATAATAGAACACACCATCTATCTCCAATCATGAATGAACACACCCCTACTGCTGATTGGCTCACTCTCTCATCCCTTATCACGAATAGACACGCCCCCTACTTCTGATTGTCTCACTCTCTCATCACGAATGGACACGCCCCCTATTGGCTCACTCTCTCATCCCTTATCACGAACGGACACGCCCCCTATTGCTGATTGGCTCACTCTCTCATCCCTCATCCTGAATGGACACGCCCCCTACTGCTGATTGGCCACAAGTATGTTCTGTTGCTCAGTCCAAACCACTTTCAATGGCATTTCTCAGAAATCGCTCACTGCACCTTTAACTGTGCATTTCCTTGAAAATTGCACACATTGGCTTAGGAGGACGTCCATCAACCAATCAGAATCAAGCACTCAACATATAAAGATTACTTGTTTGCTATTGCATTACCATACATTAAAAGATGAGACCTTTATGTAAGGTTTTACTATTGATTTGTAGTTCTGTTACTGTTGAACAGAAGATTTTACACAAAGTATAAAAGCAATGATGTGTCCATATTTGGATGTTTCTGATCGTTGTCTAGAATCGGTCTGAAGCCGTCACCCCTCTCTGTGATGATAGACTTTAGTTCTGTAAACACTATCATCACTGCCAAATGCGCCGCAGTGGGAAATCAGCTTTTGTTATGCGACAGTTAAAATTACATTATCTCAGATGCGCGTAATACTTTCCGTAGATAAAAGTGCAGACTATAATTAATACCTGGACCCCTCTTTTTTCCCTCATTGTTAGAAAGCACTGTGGGCAGAATCTGCTTTTGCAAGATCATCTGGGCATTTGTATGCACATGATGAAGACTTTTTAGACGGATCAGAAATGAAAGCATACTGCATGACAGTAGCTCAGCCCATGATGCATCCTGGGAAATTAGAGTGAATGTGATCATCACAGTACTTTCATAGCCATAATGCTCCTCACCTCTCCAGGCAATTAGTTAATTGCATTTTAATGTTAAGCTCAGACAGCAGATGAGCAACAGAGAGAGAGAGGCTAATAAAACAGCCTACCTGGGGATGCGGTGTTAAAAACAATTTGTGTTTTAAGTTAAAGAGGAGAAGCACACATTTCGCTACTCAAGATCATTTAAATTGATGCATGCAATTAATTACTCGCATGTCATTTTCTCAGTCATGGTCATAGTGATTTTGATGAATAATTAATTGTGTTTGGGCCTCTATTTGTGTCAGTTGTGGAGGTCAAATATGGACAAACCCAGCCATTGGGTTACATTTTTAAAAATAAATTTTGAACCCAATGTTTGAGTTTGTCCATATTTGACCCAAAATTGGGTTAAAACAACCCAGCATTTTTTTAGAGTGTAGGACTTACTTTTAAACCATTTTCAAAAAATGAAAAAAGACTAGAATTTGTGTCTTTTTTCCCCCAGTACATTCTTATCAATACATTTTTTTGTAAAACGTAGTGTTAGATTTTGGTGTATTTGGCCGAGCAGTGGTTTGGGTGGCTCGCCAATGTATAGATTTCTCCAATACATAAAATAAGTAACCTACGCTTATTCGGAGAAGAATTTATTGAAGGTTTGTATAGCAGTTCTTCAGCAGCGATGTTAGCATGTTGCAGATTTTGGTTAAAATGTATTCACTGGCCTGTTTTGTGTCAAATCTTGCATTTTATAAGTACATAGGACTACATTATTATATACTGTACAAATAAAATTATATACTTTTTTCATAACAAATTTCATTATCAACATAACCATGAATGTTGAAAATGCACATGAATTACAATTGTGATTCAATGGAAGCTGTAAATCTGATCGTTTGATTTGATTTGTGACCTAATGCGCTTTTTTTTCAATGTCATAATGTTTCGTTTCTTTCTTGACCTTCTGCATGCACAGACCAGTAACTTTATAGCTACATTATTAAGTATGCACTTCATCCTCAGGGATGAAGCTGTACATCTGCACCAATTAGGTGACTTTTGGGAAAGTTGTCTGCTTTTGCATATGGGCGTGTGCGTTTCCACAGCTCTCTCTCCAAGTTTCCAGGGAAACAGAAGGGCAGATCAGAGAACAGCAAATCAAACACAATTATAGTACATCAACTTAGAGCACTATTTCATTCAAAACGATTTTCACCCTCTCTCTCTCTCTCTCTCTCTCTCTCTCTCTCTCTCACTCACTCGCTCGCTCACTGGCCAGCTATAATATTCCGGCGGTTGTGAATAATAGACACAAAGGGTTTAATTGATAATCCACTCGTAGTTATCTTTGCATCATGATTTTCCTGATGGAGAAAGCAGTTTTCCTGCATGGAAATGGTACTGTCTGTTTTTGATTAGTCTCGTGTTGTTCAGAATGACATTGCAATAATTGTATGCATAGTGCACAGTAAGTAAATGTAATTCATATGCGCTTGAAAAAAAAGTATACTTATATCTAGGGATGGGACGGTATGAAAATTTGATATCACGATTATAGTGTCCAAAATAATCGTGATTATCAATATTATCACGGTTTTGTTAAAAATTTATGAAAGTGCTCAAAAAGAACTGATGCTCACACTGAAAACATTTCAACAAGTTTTATAATTGAAAATCAACAAACAACAAATAAAACAAGCCTCTCTGTGCAGTTTTTTTAAGCAAGATTCTATTCTATGGCATTTGCTTCTTTATAATGCCCGTCGTCAATAGCAACGCATTATTACACAGCGCACATCCATATCACAACGGACGCGCGCTCTCGTTTCATTCAAACACAATTTGCCGTCTTGCGTCTCCGGTTTTTGATTGTATTGCAAAAATGAAATCAGAGTTGATTTATTGCTTACAGAGTTTGATAATATTGGTGTGATATATCTTGTCTGGACGATTGTTTTACAAAAATAATTCAAGATTTAAAACATTAGCTAATATCATTATCAATTCAATATGTCCCCGTAATTATGTGGTAAAAATAAAATCGGTTTAATACGTGATGTATCTATACTTTACTATCCCTTAAAATATCACTCTTAATAATAGTCTTGTTTGAAGTTGTTCGTTCGTCTTTGGCTCAAATCCACTTGCTACGAACTTTTCTTCACTGAAGCTTCACGTCTATTTCAAGTGAGTGACATAAAATGTTTCAACTCAAAACAACATTTCGTGCCCAATTGTTTCCCAGACGTAGTTTTGGTATTAAGGTCAAAGTTAACTTGCCTTGCGTTCGGGTGACGATCACACAAGACGACTCGGCAGATTTGAAGTGTTTCTATTGTAGTGACTTTTTGTTCGGCAGACAAGGTGACCATCCTCGATCAAGTTTCCCTCAGGACTTTTGTAAAACCCAAAATATGACCACACCTCAGATTTGGTTCTCTTAAAAGGCTGAAAAATCTCCTGAGCACGGTCACTACCTTCCGCCATTCCTTCTCGAATAGTAATTTAAAAAAATATTGCGTGCTGCGCGCCTGCGTCAGACTGGCCGACAGGATTCAGTGAGTTATTAAAATCGCGATAATCAAACACGGTTTTAATGATAATTAAATTTTAAACGATAATACTAACCGTCAGTACATTTTATCACGGTTTATCGTGAAACCGGTTATCGTCCCATCCCTACTTATATCAAATCATACTGTGTGCTATATTATATAATCTATTGATTAATCAGCAAATATTAAGGTATTTTTACACAAAAGTAGATTATTTCACAATTGCTTTAATTATTGACATAACTGAAAAACCATTGAGGTCATGTGATGCCCACTGAAATATTGATCAATTGTCAAATGCGTTTTGTTAACGAATAGCTACTATTAAAAAATATATATAAATATTTAGGAGATTTTTTTGTTGTTGTTTTTTTTTTTTTTCTGTAAAAATTGTGCTAGTATTTTTTTCCTGACTTTGCCAATATGTACCCTTACACAAACTAGTTTAAGCCGTATAGCCTAGTGCGTAATCCGTATATATATTCCATTCCAAACAACAAATATTTACTTTTTGCATAGGCTGTCAAACAAAACAAAAAAAAAAGCATATGGTTTTATATAGAACCAAGTATTAAACAAGTTGTCTATTCTATTCATAACATCGCCAATTTGTATTTATTTACATTATATTTCTAAGTAGTATAGGCTGTATACAGTACGTATGCGGACTGCGAGTAATTCCAGAATAGTGCGCGTTACCAAGCGCGCACTCCCATTGGTTGACATGCGCGCGCACGGGGGTTGGTGCGCTATTATTAAAGCCGCGAGTGGGCGCGCAGGGCCAACAGACAGTTCTGTCCTGGAGTACCGGAGACCCGAACGAGGGGGAGACGAGCGACAACATATGGATTGAAGCAAGGACATTAGGACCACAAACCACTTCACGTAAGTTCAACTGAGATTCAACAGGTTTTTAATAGAGGAGCAATTTTGGAAAAGTTTAAATCCATACAGTACAGTAATTATATGCATTCGTATGCATTTAAAACTAAACGTCTGAGTCCTAGAGATGCAATACTGCTAGAAGTGTGTTGTGGAATGTGGAGATCGCGGTTATAGAGCGTTACAGGTGTTATTAAACTGTTCTATCTCTTAAAAGGTTCTTTATTGCAATTCATGTTGAGATTGTCCATGGAATCTTTCCATTGCACACAAATAAATTAGTGGAAAAAGGTATTTTAATCATTGAAATGTGCTTTTGTTCGTCATAAAACGAGGTTGTTTTAAGAACTGATTACTGAAGGGTTTCTTTGAGAAACCCAAAACGGTTCTTCAGTGGCATTGTTGAGAAAACCCCCATTTTAAATCTTTATTTTAAGAGTATATGGCAACTTTAGTTAGTTTATTGTTACAAAAAAAGTACTATAGTGTTACCATGGTATTCTTGGAAGTTCCTTGATTCCTACACAATTTGATGGATATGGTATTTGTTACCGTGGTTTTTCTAAGGGATAGCCTTATCAATCATCATCACTTCACATCTGCATGTAAAGTCTTCCATTTAGAGAATGCAGATGTTTATGCGCATGATTTACTTTAGAACAGATGCAGTAATGCCGTGCTTCTGCAGTCACAGAGCAAATACTGCGCAATACATATTTCATATCGGTCTCCACACATTGAACTCAGACCTTGTTGTGCAGAGAACTCTTACAGAGGAGAAAGCTGTGTGCATCAAGTGTGTGCAGGCATTATCTAATAGATATGGGGTTTTCAACATTTACACAGACCACCTTGGGCCAAGACAAAGCAGCCTAGACCTAAAAAAAGACAAAAACAAAAAAAAAACTATTGCTTATTTGTGATATATACAACCGCTTACCAAAATGGCTTAAAAATAGTACACATATTTATTATGACTAATAGCTTCTACCAGTGAAGATCAAGAAGAAATAGCAAGATGCACAAAGACCTTCACAGACCTCAAAGTGTCAAGTTGAAAATCCCGGTTACAGAAAGTGAGAATGTATAAAATACTTCAATGTGTGTTAGGATATTGTGATACTTGAAATACAACATCAAACAGTTGATTTTGTTTGTGTGTATAATCAATATACATTTAAACTTACAAGTTTTACTAAAGTCAGAAATACAATGGTGTAACAAGGTTACACCAGCAAAAATCTCATTTTCATTAGAACAGGAAGAAATGGCTCTTTAATCTTAATTAATTTTCATTGTACTTGCATCTAATAAAATGCACACATTATTGGCTTTTGGAAATAAATCTCGGATAACAATACGCTTTGTGGCTTGAATACATAATGGAAAAAATGATGTTGAGTGCATGTGATGTTGAGTGCATCTCCACAATTGATAATGGGGAGGGAAGGAGGGAGGCAGGTGTCTTTAACAATTGCTTTTTGGTGTTAACAATACCATCCGAATCTCCCAAGAATCCACTGGGTGACCGTGTGCCCAAAGCACTGAGAAGGTGGACTGAATTTGTATTTGCATTCATGAATTGCAGGTGTGTGGGTTGATGATTCTTCGTTTCACTATCTGTGCACACAGGGTGCAATTGCACATCTCTCCCAGACCTCGCAGAGAGATGTGGCTGCTGGAAAAGATCCGCGGTTCAGTGGAGGGAAACGTTCTCCGACAAGGAGACTCGGCGGACAAACAGGGCAAAGCCCCCACCTACTGCAACGTCCTCACCCCTGACAAGATCCCTGACTTCTTTATTCCACCCAAATTCGTGTGCTGCCCACCGGAGGAGGAGACGCCAGAGATGAAGCCAAAAAACGAGCTCCACTCGTCAGCGTCGGAGCAGACCATATGCTGCAAGAAGCCTCAGGGCAGTCCGCGCAGCCCACGCCTCATTAACAAGTTGGCTGGAGACACCAAGAACTTGCTCAAAGCTGCAAACCGCCACATCATCCAGATCGAGAGCGCGGACGACTTGGTGGCCGGGGAAGGGGGTGACCTCAACACGAACGCCGACCCGCAGTCCCAAACGGCCATGTCCCTGCCCTACGTGCCCAAAGCGCAAACCTCCTACGGTTTCGCCACGCTCATGGAAAGTCCTCACACGAGACGTAAGGAGTCCCTCTTTCACAGCGACCCCACAAGTCCGCTTACCTCACCCAACACCCAACGCAAGTCGCAGGGTAACCACCTAAACCCCAGTGACTGCAACACCTCCCACTCCAACCCCTACCGGTACTTCAGCGGAGGGGAAAGCGACACTTGCTCTTCGGCCGAGTCCTCCCCGTTCAACTCCCCCCTGTTATCTCGTTCTGCGTCTCTCCTCAAGGTGTTCACCCACGAAACCCAAGCCAAAGTGTCCCGAGCCAAGCGCTCCTTCGCCCGGCACAGTTCCCTCTCCACTGACGAGTGCAGCTCTGTGGAGACCAGCCCGAATATTCAGAGGCGCCTCCGTTGCCCTCCTTCCCCTGCTTTCCGCGGACGGAAATACGGAGGCAACATGGATCGCTTCACGCAGCACACCGTCAACCTCCACAAGGGGGGAACTCTGCGCCTCTGCACTGACTACGACATCGACGCGGCCCGGCTTCACGTGCGCGTGCTGGCGGCCGAGGACCTCTACGACAAGCAGTTTGACGTGAAGAGCATCAATTGTTGCGTGGCTCTGTACCTGAACCCGGGAAAGCTCCAGAAACAGCGTAGCACCATTATCAAGAACAGCCGCAACCCCGTCTTCAACGAGGACTTCTACTTTGACTCCCTTCCTGTCGCGCAGGTGAAGAACCTTGCCATCAAGATGAAGGTGGTCAACAAGGGCACCAGTCTGAAGAGAGACCACCTACTGGGCGAGAGGGAGGTGCCCTTGAAGGAGCTGCTTTCTGGGATCTAGAAGTCTAGTTTCGTCCACCGCCTAGGCGTGGGACAAACGAACCATTCACGGAAATATTCCAGCTTTGATTCCGAGTGATTGGAGTTCTCCAACTAACTGTGTGCACCTTCCTGAATTGTTTACCAGCAGTGAGAGTGTTTCGGATGTACTGTATGTGTGAGATCTTCTGTATATATCCTCTGTATGAGTGTACAGGCATGCTCCGATTGGTTTGTGTTTGTGAGACCAACGTTGTCTTGATTCCAGACCCTGCTGGGTCTCACGGTTGGAGACTCCGATAGATAAAAACAGCTCCCCGTCCACTGCTATCTCGAAGGCAACAGCTCATTTAGTTGACTGATGCTTTGAAGTCACACACAAATTAGGGACGCTCCGATCAGGATTTTTGCAGCCGATACCGAGTACCAATTTCTTGTCATAAGGCTCATAAGGTTTATTTAAACATTGTCCAATACTGTGGAGGACAAAATAAACATTTAGTCTCCTAAAATGGAGAAGTCTGATGTAACTTAAAGGATTAGTTCACTTTTGAAAAAACTTTTGCTGATAATTTACTCACGAAAAGTCGAAAAGAAATTAAGGTTTTTGATGAAAACATTCCAGGATTTTTCTCCTTATAATGGACTTCCATGGGAACCAGGTCCAACCGAGGTCCAAACGACAGTTATAACAGTTTCAGATGCAGCTTCAAATGTCTTTAAACGACACCAGACGATGAATAAGGGTCTTATCATGCGAAACGATCGGTTATTTCAAAGCTTATTCCAAAAATGTAACTTTTCTAAGGACAAATGCTAGCCTTTCTCCATTCTGTGAGGCGCGTTTGTAACGCCACATAATACGTAATTACGTTCAAAAGGTCACGGGCGACGTAGCCGGAAGTACAGAGTCAGTGTTTACAAGTTGAACGCATAGGTTAAACGTGCAAACTAGCTCAAACACCGTTTACAAAAAAGGAATTAAAAGGTAAAACAACGATGTCGGACGATTTTGATTCTGTACTTCCGGCTACGTCGCCCGTGACCTTTTGAACGTAATTACGTATTACGTGACGTTGCAAACGCGCCTCACAATATATTACAAGGCTAGCATTTGTCCTTAGAAAAGTTACATTTTTGGAATAAGCTTTGAAATAACCGATCGTTTCGCACGATAAGACCCTTATTCATCGTTTGGTGTCGTTTAAAGGTGCCATCTGGGAAAAAAAATCAATTCATACACCATATTCCATACCAGATGGAGGCAGTATACCTCCAGAAAAATACCTCCGCGGCCTTAGTTTGAATTAATTTAACAGACAGTATTCCCTGATGTGGACCAAGCTAGCGCCTTTCAGAGCTGCCCACTCTCACAAATTCACCGTGAGACACACAACTTTTCACACACTCTCACGCCACATCCATTTTGTCATGCACTGAAAAGGACACAGAGACCGATCTCAGCTCTCAGATTCTGTTAATTTTATTACGCAATTCAAACAATAAATGCAGTTTTGGCGCTTGTAAATGTTAGACGACAGATCCCTAGCGCACGTGAACCGATCATCTCTACGAGCTAATGGTAAACGAACACGAACACTGTTGAAAGATATGTTACAACTTACCAAAATGTATTTCTCATGCATAATATCGACCAATCATTTATTTAACTCATCCCTGAACTGAAATTTAGTAGCGGGCTGTATTTCCACACGACATCACGACATGACATGCAGGTTCAAGTACACACAAGCCGGCGCGACTTACTCGTGTTACTGCAGTTTGGCTGGTGGCAGTGTTGCCCGCCCGCATACCGCCTCCCATGGCCGAAACTGGTATTACGACACCTGCCGGGCCGTGGCTAATAATTTAGCATGCTAATTTAGGTTATATCTCGGCAGCACTATGACTTGCCAGTTTTTTAATAACATCATTGCACTTATTTCTTCTCATTCTTTTGATGTGTGTAGCTCATTTTTTGGATATTTGTACCTCAATTATTCCATATGGCACCTTTAAAGACATTTGAAGCTGCATCTGTAACTGTTATAACTGTCGTTTGGACCTCGGTTGGACCTGGTTCCCATTGAAGTCCATTATAAGGAGAAAAATCCTGGAATGTTTTCATCAAAAACCTTAATTTCTTTTCGACTGAGGAAAGAAAGACATGGACATCTTGGATGACATGGGGGTGAGTAAATTATCAGCAAAAGTTTTTTCAAAAGTGAACTAATCCTTTAAACATCGTCCAATACAAGTCTGAGCAGGACAAAATAAATAAATAAATAAAATCAAACAACATTTAAACTCCTAAAATAACAAATTGAAGTGGTTTGATACAACTCATTAGGTTTAATTAAACATTGTTCAATGTTAAAGAGAATAAAATAAATAGAAACATTTAAACTCCAACATGGAGAAGTCTGATGTAACAAATAAGGTTTAATTAAACATTCTCCAATATAAGTGTCATGTACGTCCTCACGCGTTGACGTCATCAAATCGCGATCGGTTTGTAAGATCGGCCAAGTTAGTGAGTACCGATCGAGTCATAAAATGTTATGATCAGCCGATGTTGATCGATCGGAGCAACAAATCCTAACACAAATGCATGCTTCGTCAGCCGGTTTGAGCCTTAAAAATAATGAGAATGACAACTACATATTTTCCCGCCTGTATTGCTGTAATAACAGTGCTTCGCCTTATGCCTCTTTAATTCCAATTTAGGGTTTAAGACTGTGACATTTCTCTCAATCTCACTGTAAACTATTGGACTTTTGCTGTTTTTCCTTTTGAGAAGTGAATCTGTGCCGTTAAAAACACCCTTCAGCCTTACTGAGTGACAAGCTGCTCACTTTGAGTGACAGAACTGTAGGGAGGGCGTGATTCGTGATTGGTCAGAACATATGACGTAATCGTGGATGTCATGACATCATGACTTCTGTAAATAGAAGGCTGTTCTAAATCTACACCTGAAATGACTCCCTGTTCCCTGTAAAGTTGACTAAACCATGCACTGTTTGGAGAAAGAGTTCAAAATTGGAAAATTGGTATTACCATGCTAATTGGACCTGCAACTGTGGTAGTACCATGACTTTTTTCTTCTTTTTTTTTTGCAGTAACTTGGATCAGCATGGGCTTTTGGGAATGTACTCTATTAACACCATAGTTTGTCACATTTACAATGGTTATTTATATGAATACAGTAATCATTCAGAACCTAACGTATCGTACTATTACGATCTGATACTATCATGGTAATAGAGCCCGTTCTCATCCCAAGGCGTCATATACAACGCTTTTGCCAATGCGTAGATATCCAACGCACATGGCAGCGTCAAATGAGACGCAGATATATATATGGGGAAAAAGGCGCCTCCTAGTGGTCTAACCCTAACCCTACCCCATACCTAAACCTACCATAACGAAGCGTCTCATTTGACGCTAAAGGGCGTCATGTGTGTTGGATGTCTACGCTTTAGCAAAAGAGTCGTATATGACGCCGATGAGAATGCGTTGGGTAACACCGTAATTTTTGGAAATGTGCCGTGGTAAAACCATGCTTTCGGACAAGTGCCATGCTAATACCATGGCAATATTTGAAGTGACATATTTACATGGCAGTCCGTACCATGTAGTCCTTATACCATGGTATTCTTTGAGGTGCCATGTAAATACCATATAAGCTACACCAGGTAAAGCCATTATATAAAGGCTACGCTAACATACACTACGCTTGCAAATGATTTTTTTCAGAAACTTAACATGTGCGTTTACGTTTCTAAAGGACATTTACACTAGTGCCATTTTAGCTCCAATCTCAGGTTAGGGAACATATTGCTTTTTATTACGTGTGCACTTTAATGGAGTATGTTGTTGATTTGCAACAGTTTATGGTACGTTTTTGGTAAGGTTTAGTAAAGTATACAATTGTTCAATAAGATTTGGGATATCCCCCATGAAGTAAGGCGTTTTTTCATATGTTCATAAAGTGTTCAGATGAGTATTATATTAAATATGTGCACAGTTTTGGCATGTTTATAGTAGACGTGTGAGTGTGTAGATGTTTACCAATGGGAGGAGTTGCATGGCAAAGTGTTCAAGCCCTCACGATTTGATTTCTAATGTTACAGAGTCAGATTGTGAAAGTAAGATATACTTCCCTTGTGTTGGAGCCACATCATCACTAGCGTTATTTTGTGTACTTTAATATTTCTGACGACCAATTTACCTGTATTTTGCTCATGCATTGTCTTCATTGGGATTTCAAGAGAAAAAAGGTGTTAAAAGATGTAAATCTTATAGTTTTAAAAAGAAAAATTCTCTGTGTTGAAAATGTATGGGATTTTCACCCCAGAAGCTTCTGTTGCACTCATTAAAGCAGAGTTAGATACATTTGGACTTTGAAATTACTGTTGTATAAGACACTGTAATGCGTCATACACGGCAAGCTTTTTGTTTGACCTAAAGAGTGTCCGGTAATATTCCTGAGAGCTCTTCAATCAGGTCACTGCGCTCCTCGGTTCTTGAGTGGATTCACACAATTGCACCGCTATTAGAAGTGAGACAGGTTGTCTCACAGTTCTGGCTTCAGTTCAAGAAAACACATCTGTGTGTTTTTGATGAATCATTTGCATATCCTTAAGGGTGAAGTGTGTAATTTACATGCCACATGTAACACCAAATGGAATTGCAACTAGGTTTTCACATTTTCCATTGAAATGTGAGTGATGTTTGCCGGTGCAAAAGTTGCTATGGAGTTGTTGTTGGTTGCTAAGGTGTTGTGAGTGGTTGCTAGGCCATTTGCAACTTCCATATTCTGGCATTTTTCTGTGTGAATCGGGATTTCAGGTGGGAAGAACACCATTCTATCCATGAGGAAGGGATTTAATGGTGAAAAATAAAAGTCGTCGGCTTTTGATTAATGATTAAAAATACAGTTTTTTGTGATTAAATGAATGATTAAAAATACATGTTCCTGAAGCCGAATATTATGTTCGGAAAGGAAATGTCACATTCTACGGAGCCCCTAAAAGGACACGCTTTTTGCGTTCTCTCGCAATTCTATATTGTATAATTTTATTGGCATCAGGAAGTCGCTATCGACATCAATTTTGAATGCAAGTTTGCTTTTTACATTCACTTCTTTTCAATTCGCAATCATCCATACTCTGTTTATAGGAGTTTGACCAACACTATCTCACGACCAATTCGTAATAATTCGACGAATGATTAAAAAGTGTCTAATTCGTACTAATTCGTACGACCTATGAATTCATACGAGTTGGTCAATTCGTAAAATATGTACGATTTAGCAAAATCGTACGAGTGAGGTCGTATGAATTGTTACGATTTAGCCACTTTTCAATCATTCGTCGAATTCGTACGACTTGGTCGTGAGATCGGGTTGGTTTGACCACACGTTTTACAAAATAAGATATTTGTAAAGTCCTCAATCATCCTGCTGTCAGTCATCTTTCCTTACTATATTCATGTCACAGCAAACACAGAACGTTCCCGAATGGTCCCATGAGGTTATTTTTTTTGGGAACCAAACAAGAACG